TGGGTGTCACTGCTATCGCCTTGACACATCTACCCAGGGACATGAGTCAGGATACAAAAGGAAACAGTTCTCAGGGCTCTCAGGTGGACATTTTCAGGTAATTTCATGCACCCTGTCTTGCAAGTATTCCAGTCTACTTTCTTTTCTTGTAATGTCCTTGTCAAGGCAGCCCTGGGTTATACTGAGCCCATAGACTGAAACAGGAAGTGGCCCTCCTTGTCTATTCTCAGAGAACGGTGTGCAAGGCACAAACCCTGCTGACTCCACTTCTGTTCAGCAGTAAAGGCTGACACCAGCAGGGCGGGGGGAAGAAAGGGGAAGGAGCCTTAATGAGTGGTTCGATTTCTTAAGGAGATATTGGAATATTTCATTTTTCTAGCTCTATCCTTAAAACTGAGTGAGTTACATTTTCAAGATATTTGTTTCCCTTAAGTTGTTGGCACAAGGTGGTTCAGTTTTTGTCACCCCTTTGACACTCTAGTCCCTGTGAAGCCTCCCTAGGTTTTTGTATGAGTTTCAGACTGGGTGTTACTAACCAGGAAACCACATTGTTGCCTGAGTTTTAGGCTGAGTTTTTATATGTACGCACTGCTCCAAACACACTAACTTCCGATTAGTCAGAGGATCTGATTTGCAAGATTCCTCTATGGCCCCACAAGTCTCCTCTGGGATCTGAGTATCCCATGAGAAACAAATACCCAAAGGCTGCAGGATAGCGGAGAGGGCCTGACCTTCGGACTCCGTGGAAGTGTGCGCTTTCTGAAGTCGAGCTGAGAGCTCCTCCTGAAAGGTCGTCCAGCTTTCCCTGTTTGGCTTGTAGCTAATTATTCCTCTGGAACCTGAAACAGGACCTAGGGCCACACCTACCACTGAGTACACTGTTTTGTGCTGTGGTTGGGAGTCTACAGCCATGACTGCAGCCACCTGCCCCACTGCAGCTATGGAAAATATTTACTTTCTTGCCTCTGTACCCCGAAGCTCCAGCCTAGGGCCTAGCCAAGGGTACCCACACTCACCTTCCACCCACCCACTCATTCAACCATCCCTCTGTCTCTTATGTACCCACTCGTCCTCTCACCTACTGAATCCTCCATCTCTGTACTCATCTACCAACACTTCTATTCACCAGCCACTCGTCCATCCATTCATTCACCCAGTCATTCATCCATCTGTCCATCCACCCACTCATCCATCCATCTGTCCATCCATCCATCCATTCATTCACCTATACATACATACATAATTCATACATTTATAACATACATACATACATAACATACATACACACATTCATACATATATAACATACATACATAACATACATACACACATTCATACATATATAACATACATACATACATAACATACATACACACATTCATACATATATAACATACATACATACATAACATACATACATTCATACATAATAACATACATACATAACATACATACATAACATACATTCATACATATATAACATGCATACATATATAACATACATACATAACATACATAACATACATACATACATACATTCATACATATACAACATACATATATACATAACATACATACATACATAACATACATACATACATAACATACATACATACATACATACATACATACATACATACATCTATCCACCCATTCATCTGTCAACCTCTCATTCATGTGTTTATTTACCCATTCTCCACTGCAGACACAAGCCCTAAGTATGTTGAAGACTGTGTTAGGTTCTTGAACACAGAAGAGAGTGAAACACAGCAGACAGGGAACCTCTTCTCATGGAATTGTGGTCCCACCTCAGGAGACAGCTTAAGACACGCTCGTTGAATGCTGGAACCTTCTCAGGTTCCATGCAGTCAGGCTGATTTTCTAGCCATTTCCATGGAGTACCGGCTGAGCATATTTAGGGAGTGCTGTGGATGACTGCGTCTTGAAAACCTGCATTAATCCAATGCAGATACGATTCTGTAATCTGTTCAATGCATCTGTCGTGGAGCTTTAGTGGATGACAAAAAGAACAGCTGTTTTCCCTGGCCTTGGGATCCTCCTTGGGCATATCTTACATGACCCTAGATGATGTGCCTGGGCGTCTGATAGAGATTACAGAAAACCTGACTACCTTCTGTAAATTCCCCTTCACTGTGGTCCTGCCTATGCAGAACATACCGCATGCTTTCTGAGTGTGGTGTGACATCTCCTTTCATTCTGAAGCACATTAACATGTCTACTCAAGAACTGTGGCTGGGGATACAGATAGCCCTGCTGGGGAACTTCTTGCCTTGAAAACATGAGTACAATCTTCAGAACACACTCAAAAAAGCTAGCATGCAGGCTTCTGCTCATAATCCAAGCACTGGAGAGGCAAGAGAGGAAGGTCTCAGAGCACACTAGCCAGCCAATTTAACCAATGAGCTCTAGCCAATGAGAAACCCTGACTCAAAGGAGGTAGACCACATTTCTAAGGATGATTCTTGACATTGGCCTCTACACACCAATACACACACACACACACACACACACACACACACACACACTTTAAAAAGAAATACATATTTCCTACCAGAAATGGTGACACAGAACTGTAACCCTAGATACTTGGGAGGCTGAGAGAGAAGGATTAGAAGTTCAAGGCCAGCCTAGGCTATGACATATGTTCAAGGCCAACACGGGCAACTACTAAAATTCTGTCTTAAAATCTACAAAATAAGACTATAGCTGGAGACACAGCTCAGAGTTAGAGGATGACCCAGCATGTGCAAAGCCCTAGGTTCCATCCCTGGTACTTCACAAAACCAAAAACCAGACCACAACAGAACAATCAATGTTCCCGTCTGCCTGCCTCAGAATGCAGCAGATGGGTGCTGGGTAGACATTGCTAGCCCTTGTTAGCTGGGTCTGCCTTAGACAGGCTCTGGGTCCAGCTGGAGAGCACGACTTCTTTTTGAGTCACACACACAAAAGAAGCTTCTAGCACAGGCAGAAGGCATCTACTCTCCTTCCCTTAGCTATAGACCTCTGAACCTTAGTTCAGAAAGCTTTCACCCTCTCCTGGAAAGCAGGAGACATCCTTTGAATAGGTTGTCCTTCAAAGGGCCCAGAGATAGGATCTGAAATAAAGCCGTGATAGTAACCCAGAATGAAGAGGGTTGGGCAGGGATGGTGGAGTCTCACTAGGAAGCTTGGGAGATGGCGTTCAATATGCCTCCTTCATCTTGTTAGAAAGACCACCAAATTTCCTAGTGGAAACTGATTCCAGAATGCTGTTTCCCTGGAAGTCTTGGCCAACTGTGCATTTAGAGCCAGAAGCTGAGTGTTCATGTCTGAGCCGGAACGATGAAGCCAAGCTAGGCAGGGGGAGTGTCTGTAACAAAATACCTTAGCCTGGGTAGTTTGTAAACAATATAGGTTTACTGCTCACAGCCCTGAAGGCCAGCAAATGTCCAAGATGGAGATGTTGGCTGATTAGGAGCCTAGTAAAGACAGCACTCAACCTAAGAAAGATGCTCTTCAGGGTCCTCCGACCCTGAGGCCTCTCACAAGGGTACGAGTTCCATTTCTAAGGAGCCCAACTCTTACCACCACACCCATAGAGACTGCTTATCAACAAGGGAAGGGGGTGACACACGAGTTCAGATGCTAGCATCCACCCTTTTCACACTCAGTCCCCACCCACATATGCCCACAGTTCATCAGATTCAATTCTGCTTTAAACCTTACCTCCCTGAGATAAGCGCCAGGCTACATGTTCTCTCCTGTAGAAGTGAAAGCTCGGGATCCAGGGGTAGCAAGACCCCAACACAGACAGCATGTTGAAGGGACTGCTACAATCTAGCGGTCTGAATGTCTTACAGTGGACACAAAATAAAAGTGAACGATCTTATACATATGGCTTTTTTTTTCCAAACGCAAAGATGTAAGATAGTCCAAGGGGATCCCAGGGTCACCGATGTTACACCCAGACATTTCCGGACTCACCTTTCCCAAACTGACAGTCATGTCAGGTGATACAGAGAACAGGGCAGATGGCAGGGCACAGTGAACATTGGCTCTTTCGTTCCTTTCCTTGTCGAGAGTGTCCTGTAGGAGTGGCAGTTGCCATCAGTGCTGGCCAATCCCATTCACACCAATGGCATCTGCCTGTCTCCATGGTGAGCTTGTCTGGCTGGAGGGGCATGCTCAGTCTGCCGCTGGGGCACCTGGGAATGCTGGGAGCTTACGCTCTGCGGAACAGTCCTCGGCCAGGGATAACGAGGGATCAGATGTGAAGTATCCAGGATGTCCTACATTTCAGATAGCACCTCAAGACATGTTCCTCAGCATAGAACTGTTGAAGACCGCCATCAACTCATCTCTACGTGATTTCCTAAACTTAAATTGTTAGAAGACACTTGCTTTCCTTCCTTCCTTTCCTCACTTCCCTCTTTTTTCCTTCCCTCTTTCCTTCCTTTTCTTTCTTTCTTTCTCTCTCTCTCTCTCTCTCTCTTTCTTTCTTTCTTTCTTTCTTTCTTTCTTTCTTTCTTTCTTTCTTTCTCTCTTTCCTGTAACTGGACTATGTAACTTTCAAGGACAAGCTTTGTAGATGGCATCTTTCTTAATGTCAAAAGGTTGGACACATCTATAACACTACTTCCAGGTTTCCCACCAGGATCGTGCTTCAGATGTCCATGGAAGAACCTTCTAAGTACTCTTGATTGCTTCCCTTTGTTTCACTACCCCCCTCTGCCTTTCCAGAGCTTTCTAGAATTCTCTACAAGTACTGTTAACATTCTCATCCTCAGGGTTTCCCACAGAGATAATGGTGTAAGGGGGGAAGTGTTTTCATATATCTCCACAACATTTCAGCGCAGAGAGCTTCCTCATTTTATAGCTGAGCAAGATGATGCTGTCCACTGCTTCCCTGAGTGTGAGCCTTGGTGTCCCTCCCCCCATCACTTCTGGCCTGATGCACAAGCCACTGACTGAGTGTTCATCCCCTGCTTCACACACAGGAAGGCCGATGCCTGTATGTCATCCTGCTCATGGCGGTGTACTGGTGCACGGAGGCCCTGCCCCTGTCAGTGACGGCTCTACTGCCCATCATCCTCTTCCCCTTCATGGGAATTCTACCCTCCAGCAAAGTCTGTCCCCAGTATTTCCTCGACACCAACTTCCTCTTCCTCAGCGGCCTGATCATGGCCAGCGCCATCGAGGAATGGAACTTGCATCGGAGAATTGCCCTCAAGGTCCTCATGCTGGTTGGGGTCCAGCCTGCAAGGTAAGACAGAGGGAAGTCTGGGGTGGGTGGAAGGCAACACTCTTCCTTTTCGACCATTGAACCAAGAAACTGTCATTTCCTATGTGTTTGGCTTCCTAGTTTCTTGACAGCTTTATGCATTCCACATCAGTAGAATAGTACAGTGTAGAGCTGATTTGGTGACGGCTGTCTTCAATATGCTTCAAAGTCCTCCAAAGGACTTTGTACCATGGGGATACACACCTTCAATCCCAGAATTCAAGAAGTAGAAGAGGACAGGTCTCTATGAGTTTGAGGACAGCCTAGTCTATATAGTGAGTTCCAGGACAGCCAGAGCTAAATAGTGAGACCCCAGCTCAAAAAAAGCAATAAAATAAAATAAGAGTCACTGGAGACAGAGTTGGACGGCTGGCCCTTCAGCCTTGTGCCACCAGGCTTCTTGGGCTGAGGTCAAGATCCTCTGCTGCAGAAAATGGCAGCACCCGCCTCTGTCAGTTGTGTAGCCGGCTCTCATGAAGTCCTTGTGGGTTAACTGGGCAAGTTCAAGGGATCACACAGACTCGAGTGATAAAGCCAGCCCTAGCTGCCATTCTTGACAGTTGCCAGCATGGTGGATAAGTGTGTGTTCCCATAATACTTAATCTCAATCAGGGACTTCTACCCAGCCTATGTTCATCCAGTTCATGGATAAAAGACACACAACTTTTATTATTAATAATAAGCCTTAATCAGCACTAGAGTTTGCCAGGTATCTACCCTCTAAGCTATTAAAATCCATTTCCTCAGTTAATAACCCTGAACTATAACTTGCCATTTCTATCTGGGCCACTCCTAACTCCAGTTGGCCAGCCCTCGTGACCGTATTTTCATGACTCACCTAACCCATGGGGTCTTCCTTCTCCCTCTCCTCATGGTTCTCCTCCAATGCCAAGCACAGGAAACCCAAGCCCTGCTCATCTCAATTCTGCCCAGCTATAGGCTGTAGGCAACTTTACTCACCAATCAGGGATGACTTGGGGGGCAAGGTCACATAGCATCACTTGGTCTATGTGAAGATTCTCTCTTCCTTAGGGACAACCTTAGGGCCAGTATTAGCATTACAATACATAGTGAAAGACCAAACCTCAACAGGAGTGGCTTGGGGGAGACAGGAATTTAATCTCTGAGACTCACATGGTGGTAGGAGAAAACCAACTCCAAAAGTTGTTCTTCCTCTGACCACCAACATATGTCATGTTATTTGTATACACACACACACACACACACATACACACACTGCACACTGAATAGATAGATAGATAGATAGATAGATAGATAGATAGATAGATAGATA